AGTACTAGCGCAACATCTACTAGTCTATAGTACTAGTTCAACATCTACAGTACTAGTCCAACTTCTACTAGTTCAACATCTAAAGTACTAGTCCAGCATCTAGTAGTCCAACATACAGTACTAATCCATCTACTAGTTCAACATCTACAGTATTAGTCCAACATCTACTAGTCTAACATCTAGAGTACTAATCCAACATCTACTAATCTATAGTACTGGTTCAACATCTACAGTACTAGTGCAATATCTATAATGATAGTCTAACAACTATTAGTTTAACATCTACTAGTCCAACATACAGTACTAGCGCAACATCTACTAGTCTATAGTACTAGTTCAACATCTACAGTACTAGTTCAACATCTATAGTACTAGCGAAACATCTACTAGTCTATAGTACTTGTTCAACATCTACAGAACTAGTTTAACATCTACTAGACCAACATACAGTACTAGCGCAACATCTACTAGTCTATAGTACTAGTTCAACATCTACAGTACTAGTCCAACATCTACAGTACTAGCGTGACATCTACTAGTCTATAGTACTAGTTTAACATCTTATCAACATACTTATCACTTAATATTTTTTATAATACTAATTATGTGTGATGCCTGAGAAGAGAGTTGTGCTGATTATAATCAGAGCAAACGAGCGGCTGACGGAGTTCAGCACATATTATCAGATCGACCCCATTACAGCTGATTCTCATTAAACACGTTTATCATCATCAATCACTCTGAAAAACACACAACGCATCTGAAGATCACGGAGGCGTTCAGAATCACAAACACACACTCGTTCAGACGGCCATCACCTTTCCTCACAACCAGCCGCCGCACTGTTCAGACGCTCTGAGCACATATAATCGGGATTAAACTGATATAAATAGTGTTTTAATCAGAAATGGGTCTAGTAATGATCAGCTGACGTCATTCTGACTGCCTGAGGTGACAATGACCAAAATAACAGCAAACTACTGCACCGTGACCCAGAAACGCCTCTCGGGTCTGAGCTGATAGTGGGACAAACAATAAGAACAGTAAAGCACTTCCCATAGCTTCTGGTTTTAGGCACAAATCCATTGATAGACGCTTGTTAAATTAGCCAGATGAAACCTGGAGTAAATATTCATGAGGAAATCTCATTTTTCTATTATTGGGTTTATGCAGTTCATTACATTACATTTATGCATTTTGACTTTTCAAAGACAAAGACTAGTACTGCACAATTTGGCTAAATTCTATATCAATATGGCTATAAAATAATAATAATAATAAATATAACATTGACAAAATAAAAATGTCATTTTACATTAAACCTACAAAATTGCAATACTATTTATTTATTTATCTTAATTTAAGTTGTTTAGAGGTCTGCACAATTTTCATATACATTTTGTGATTATGTTTATCAATATGGCTATATGATAATAATAATAATAATTGTATTAAATTATTTAATTTTAATCATAGTAGTAATAGTAATTTTATATTTGTAAATAAAACATAATAATAAAAATAATAATTAAATAAAATATAAAAGTTACTACTGTAATATTTTACTGTAAAATAATAT